TTGTGCCACTCCCAACAGAAATACTCCAGGTGGACACCTTCAGCAATCAGGAGCTCCTCAGTTGCTCATAGAAAATCCCACCTTGGAGTTTACAAAGACTTATGGGTAGAAAAGCCACACTAAGTAATTTACTACACTGCAGGCTCCATTTGGAACTACTTTCTTTGTCATCAGCATGGGTCAGGTATCTACTTGGTGCCCAGGGCCACACCTGGTGGCCCTTCCTAATCTGTCTTCTCAACCTTGGAATTCTCTAGATGGTGAATCAGCACTATTGAATCACACTCTACCCTCCCCTAGCTGAAGGAATTCTGCACATGTAAATAGAATGTTGTTTTGTGATAATTATTTGGTCATGAATAAGTAAATTGAAGATAATGTCCCCCCCCCCCAATGTCTTTGTTCCTTAGTAATTGATAGGAAACCACAACTGTTTAAAAAATTGCTCTTCACAATCCAGTTGCCTCCCCACTGCCACTGCAATCTAGTTGCAGTTTTGGCAGCTTAGTCCAACACCACACACTAACTGCTCTTGCTGCCTTTGAGCTACAGCTTATTCTGTCCTCTTTCTCTTTGTCTCAAGGCAGCATAGCTCTGATTACGTATTTGTCAAATTGCCAAGAAGCTACATTGAGGGATTATATTATCCAACCCTTGCCCTGCCCTTCACATTGATTTTTACAGAAGTGTAACCTATAGACTTTTTTGCAAAGCTCAATATAAAAAGGGTGAGATGGAAAATGCTGCACTGAAGGGCACTGCTGTCGAGCTGGTCAGTACACATCCCCTAAAGAGCCATAGGCCAGATTCTTTTCAGGGCTAGAAAAAGGCTGCTCTCCCTGCTGTAACCTGTGCTGTTCTTCTTCTTTCTTTCTTTCTTTATTTTTGCTTTAGCTGCCAGGAAGCTCTGGCCAAGTTTAAAGTCCAATTGTGGTTTCTTTGCTTTTCTGATATGATTCGTTGTTATCCTCTAACCCTCTTGACCTTCCTCCCTTGACTTTATCATTTTATTCTAGGTCAGTGTTGTGCAGTAGAGATGTAATGTGGGCCATAAATATGAACCTCCTATGGAACTTTAACATTTTTTAGTAGCCATGTTAAATTTTTTAAGGTGAAATTAATTTTTAAAAACATGTTTGATTTCAATTCATATATCAAAAGCATCATCATTTAACATACAATCAATGCAAAAAAGTTGCTAGTAAGTTATTTTACATTCTTTGTTTCATACTGAACCTTCAAGATCCAATGTACCCTTACATCTGTTGCATTTCAGACTCTCCATATTTTAAGCGCTCATAGCTGCATGTGGCCAGTGGCTACAGTGTTGGACAGCACAGGTCTCGATGTAGTGGTGTTTGGTTTTATATTATCTGTGTATTTTATCGTAAGCCACCTTACACCCTGAGGAATCAGATTTTCAAATTGATTAAGGGCACTCTTTCATTTACTGACTGTTATCTTCAGCAAGTTATTTAACTACCTTGTGCCTCAATTTCCTCATATATAAAATGGGGATAATATTACTTATATTAGGGTTTTCATTTATACAGTTTCCTTTTATATTGTAATAAATGTTTGCTATCACAAGTATCATTTTTTGTTTTTGAAAATAGGCTCATGTTTACATAGTATATAGTCTAGACACGTAGCCATAAGATGTACTTTATTTTCCCTAAAATTTGAGATTCTTACAGATTTTAGGGGATAAAAAAAATGTGATTCATGTAAGAACTATACAAAACAACTAAATGTAAGCGTCAGACTTCAGTTGTACAAAGCTTACCTCTTGACTAGTATGTATTTTATTATACCATCAGTACTTTTAGATGGTATTAATGCTCTAGGCAGGAGCTCTGGTAGCGTAATGCCTAAGGCACTTGACTGCTAACCAGAAGGTTGGCGGTTCAAACCCACCAGCCACTCCTCAGAAGGAAGGTTGGGGAATCTGCTTCTGCAGTGATACCGCCTTGGAAACCCAAGCAGGGGTCGCTACGAGTCAGGTCTGACTCGATGGCAAATAACAACAACAACAATGCTCTAGGCAAAAAGAACCATTTCTGGGACACTAATTCTCTTTTCTTCTTTTGGCCTAGGGTGAGTTTGTAGATGATGGAACTGAAACTCACTTCAGTATTGGGAACCATGACTGTTACATAAAGGCTGTCAGTAGTGGGAAGCGAAAAGAAGGAATTATTCATACTCTCATCGTGGATAATAGAGAAATCCCAGAAATTCTCGAATGACTTCATGTTAGTGAATTTTAATCTTAAGTATTAAAGATCAGGGATTTTTAATTACTGTGGTAATGAAATGTGTTCAATATGTACTTCTCAGTACATTTAGTCTGTGCTATCTTTATTATTTAGTAACTTGAACTAAATGTTCCAAGGGCCAGGGGGGGAAAAAAAAAACTAATTATGTACAATCATAAAAATTGCAGTTTATTTTGTAAATAATGTAAAATGTTTAAAGAGTAAATGGAAAATAAGATATGGACCAAAACCACTAATGTTTTACAAGAGGAACCTTTACTATAATAAACACTATAAAATAAAATTGGTGCTGCTTGATTTGTGTTTCTAAAAACTGACAAGTCTGCATATATTTTTAACCTGTGCCAATAGGTTGTTTTGTTAATTTAAAGCACTTGGTACATAATAATGCAATAGATTTAACTAAATAAAATGGGAAAACTTTTTATCTGGAAACGTATTAAGGAAGCATCAAATAGTATCACATAAGCATTTAATTTTAAAAAATGGAGATTTCTAAAAATGTAGTTGTTTTGTTTAATTAGCATGGTGAGGACAAAATGACAAGAAGAGGAGGCAAACGTCTTTAGACCAGACTATCAGGTTCATCTTCACCCAATGTCTTAGGTTGGTTTCTCCAGAAAAGCAAATTGAGTGAAGCTTGTTGTTGTTGTTGTTACGTGCCGTCGAGTCAGACCCGACTCATAGCGACCCCTCCTTGGGTTTCCAAGGCAGTATCGCTACGGAAGTAGATTGCCCAACCTTCCTTCTGAGTGGCTGGTGGGTTTGAACCGTCAGCCTTCTGGTTAGCAGTCAAGTGCCTTAGGCACTATGCTACCAGAGCTCCTGAGTGAAGCTTATATATGTATATATCTATATAGAGAAAGATTAATCTCAAGGAAACAGCTCACATGGTTGGAAGTTCCAAGTCCGTGAATCAGGTGTCAGGTTGGAGGCTTCTAACTCACATAGCTGCAGGGACTGATGAACCCAATATGGGCAGGTCAGACAGCAGGCTGCAGAGGCTGACAAACTCAAGACTGGCAGGCAATACAGTAGGCCATCGCTCACATCCAAAGAACTGGAGGTCAGATGATGAAGCAGATGCAGGATCTAGATTGAGCAAATAGCCAGAGAGCTTTGTCAGAACATCCATATATATTGGATGCAGGTCACACTCCTGAGGAAATTCCCTTTCATCTGGTTGGCTGCTCATAGCAGAGCTCATCATGGAAGTGATTATATTATATGAGATCACAAAATGGGGGATGACTACATCATAACTGCCAAACCACTGAGAATCATGACTCAGCCAAGTTAACACATAACCTTAACCATCACAGCCAATGTTTAAAAACACAGAGTTCTATACCCATGTATGGTAAAAGCACAAGTATCAGAGCTTTTGTGACTAAATGAGCCCTGTCACCTCCCTTGCATCCTCTCTGAGTCGAATTGAAGCATACTCACAGAGACCAGCTGAGTCAGTGCATGAAATGATTGCAGATCATACATTAAGAGATTGAAGGTCTTTGAAGGCAGGTCAGAGTTTAATAACAGAGGCTTGTATTTGGGTGTTTCACATCAATTATTACATTCTGCTCCTCCAGTGAGGGGAAGGAGTTCTCTATTTTCTAAATCTTTCAGTTTGGTAATTATTAGTCACATTGTTGTTGTTATGTGATGTATTTAAATTAAAATTAAATACAATTATAGTTCAATTCATCAGTCACACCATATTTCAAGTACTAAATCATCACCTGTAGCTAGAGGCTACCTTTCTTATTGGGTGGTGCAGAAAAAGAACATTTCCATCAACACACTTTCAGATTTAGTGAGTTGCTCAGCAGTCACATAAGATTTAAAACCTAGGTTTTAAATCTACTACTAAAATCCATGTCTTTTCCTACTATCTACCTGCTACTAACATATTTCCAAGCACAGTGGCAGAACTAGGTAACCCCAGGAAGGAGGAGCTGAGGGTCAGGACAGCAGTGAGGGAAAGTGGCTTGGGCAGGACTGGGCCAAATAGGCAACGCACTTGGTGGCAGAGTGAGCATATTAAAAGCCTCTGTCTACTTGCTTCCTGTAACATCATTTAAAATCTTGACAACTGGCAGATCAGCGTACTACCTTCACAAAAGTCATCCACCTGCTTTCCCATTCTACCCCTCAGCTCTGCCGGAACACAAGGAGATGGCTCAGAAGGACTCTCTGAAGCCTAGAGAACTCACATTTGAGTTCACTTTTAAGTGTTTGGATGTTGTGGTTTGTTTTCATCTTCTTAAATAAATACCTTGTGTTAATGGCCATATTTGGTACCAAAAAAAAAAAAAGTGTTGGGCCATGTCCAAAGGCAAAGCAATTATGTTTAGGTATTTGACTTTGAACTTAGTTATCAGAGGTCAAAACCTGTGATTTTCGGTGTGTATCATGTACCTCAGGAGTCACTTGGAGATACCGTTTGATTCAGTCTTTGTGCAGACCAAATCTTGGGAATACATGTTTTACCTTTAACTTAGTTAAGCCATGCTTTGATATTTTAATTTTCTATTTCAAAGCAGCATAATATTGTGGAAAGAATATAGCTTGGGTTAGAAGTTTATTGTTGTTAGGTGTTGTTGAGTCGGCTCTGACTTACAGAGGCCCTGTGTACAACAGAATGAAACCATGTGCCATCCTCACAATCTTTGCTATACTTGAGCCCATCATGGCGGCCACTGTGTCAGCCCATCTCGTTGAGGGTCTTCCCCTTTTTCACTGATCCTCAACTTTACCAAGCATGATATTTTCCAGGGAACGTTGACTTCTGACAACATGACCAAAGAAGGTGAGACGAAGTCTGGCCGATTTTGCTTCCAAGGAGCATTCTGGCTGCACTTCTTCCAGGACTTCTTTGTTCTTCCGGCAATCTGTAGGATTTTCAGTATACTTTACCAACACAACAATTCAAAGGCTTCAGCTCTTCTTCCATCTTACTTATTCAATGTCCACCTTTCATATGCTTATAAAGCAATTGAAAATACTATGGCTTGAGTCAGGCATACTTTACTCTTCAAAGTGACATCTTTGTTTCTTCACACTTTAAAGACTTCTTTTGCAGCACATTTGCCCAGTGCAATATGTCTGATTAACTTTTTATTTTTTTTTAATTGTGATTTGGGTGAAAGTTTACAGAGCAAATTCATTTTCCACACAGCAGTTCATAGACATTTTGTTTGTTTCATGACACTGACTGCAGTTCCCCACAGTGTAACAGCTCTCTTCCCACTTCCTCCCTGTAGTTCTCGCTTCCCTGTGTCCTTCTTTCCTATGCATTTCTGCCCTCTGAGCTATCTCCCTGTGCAAATACTGCCCTTCCGTCTCCCATGATGGATTATTCTAAGGAGTGTATCTGTCTGATGTAAATTTCACCCTATATACCTGTCTCTTGTTTGGCTGGAAGCCACAGGAGTTCAATTCCAGACCTGAAGGGTAACTAGGGGCCATAGTCTCAAGGGTCTCACCAGGCTCTATCAGACCAGTAAACCTCATCCTTTTTTTTTTTTTTATGATTGTGAGTTTTGTTCTACATTGTTCTCACACTATATCCAGGATCTCCTGCACTGATCCCTTTCTCAGTGGTTGATAATGATAGCTGGCCACCATCTAGTTCTTCTGGTCTCATGGTCATATAGGCAGAGGGTTGAATGGTCCACTAGTCCTTTGTCCTAATTGTTTCCATGCATCCTGGATCTTTGGTTTTCTTCATTCTTCTTTGCTCTGGACAAGGAGAGACTCATTGTTGCATCTAGATGGCTGCTTGCAAACTTTTAAGACCCCAGTTGCTACTCACCAAAGTAGGATGTAGAACCATGTTTTTGTGTAGTATGTTATGCCAATTGAGCTTGAT